AGGTTACCCTTAGTTTTTTGACCCGGAGGATTTGCCCAATATTTACGCACTTCGTAGTGTTGTTAAGTATTCAAAACAATTTCACACGAACATTGTGGTCCATTTTACAGCTAAATATAATCAAATGGTCATCCAAAATGTCTTTTCCCTATCCTTAACTCTCTTCTGATGCGAAATTCCCTGTCGATTAGTTTTCAATTGTGGCTTATAGAGCGACTACAAAATTAGAAAAAAAAATTTTTTAGTCCATTTGCACCTCTAAATGTACATCTTGAGAACAATAAGCTTTAATTCTAAACCTAACCCTACCCTCATGCAAAATTTCGTGAGGATCGGACGATAATTGCGATATGCATATTATACCCTCAAAACGTAGTGTTGGGGGGTGTAGAAATGTAGAAAATTTACAATTCAAAATTGTAAGTCAAATTGAAAAAAAATCGCATGCGATAAAAAATATGACAAAAATTGAAAAAAAATCGACAAAAGATATTCACTTTTTCTTGGTATATTTTTTCGCGATTTTCTTAGATTTTATCGTTTTCTGGCAAAAGACCATTCCGAATTGATGGGAATTTTGAAAATCGGACCAGCGGTTCTTGATTGTGATTTGGCTGGGATTGAAAATATTCGCGGTTTAGTGGACATTTTCCTATTATCTTACATAAAAGATAGGGTCTATTTTACCCGCTAATTATTGTCCGATGGCCGACCAAATTGGTAGGTTTCTGCCCACTCCTAAACTCTAATTCCATGTAAATATTCGCATCGATTGGTTTATAATTGTGGCCTATAGAGTAACTGCAAAATCAGGAAAATTTTCTGTTTTTGGTCCATTTCAACCCCTAAATATCGTGCGATCATCTCCAAAAATAATAGGGTTCTATTCTGCCCTCCATTTTCAATTTCGTGAGGATCGGTTCATAATTGCGACCTGTAGCTTGATTACAAATTAACATGGACAGACGGACATACATAGCTAGATTGACTCATCTCGCGAGACATACTTATACTTTCCTATGTGGGAAACCAATATTTCGAGGTGTTACATAATTTTTGGCCCAATCAAACTTATAATACCCCCAACACATAGTGTTGTAGGGTATAAAAATATTTGAATGATTTATTTCTCACAAATTTTCACTATTAACCTTTATAACTGATAAACCATACGACTGACCCCGCCCTACTGTTACCTTTTCCTTACTAGTTTTTCAATTAGTTTTACCATAATAGGTTTTTAAAATCTCAAAAAATAAACGACTTTTCATTACCATTTACCTGAAACATGTGTAAAGTATATGGCTTAAACTGCAGCTGTAATCTGCAACAATGTTTGTAATAACCATTGTTTTGACCATTTTGTTAATTTGCTTAAATCTTGCCTTAAATTACCATTCCAATTTTCCACCGATGCTTGTGCTGCTGAAATTTTGGATTTTTTTGTCTATTGTTTGGCAGATTATTCCTCTCGCATGCACAATGTCATGAACCGTATTGTCTTTAATCTTTTCATCAGCATAACTGTGTCTTCCATGGATATTGGTGTTAGTGTTTTGTGATTCTGGCAATTTGGTTTCATCTTCCTAACCGGGTGGTGTTGGTTTGCTTGCTGTTTGCTTTCAACTATGGCCCAGGTTCACATCAATGTGTCGAATATGCAAAAACAAACATAGCATCTATGCATCATTGCATGAAGGGTATACTTATTTTCCTACGGCGTTTGGAACATTTCAAAAAATTCCTGACTTCGTATAAAACTTTGAATAAATGCAAGTCGATGTAACTATACCAAAAGGGAATTGAAAAAGTGCTAAATATTGGGAAGGGAATTTATTTTAAGAGAGGGGAATTATATTATTTATTTGATCGTTTATAAAGATCTCAAAACTAAATAATTGAGCTGTGAAGTACACACATACATGTATTCGCATTGGACAATATAAAGATCCATCTCCTCATTGAAGAATAGAATATCCTACTAATTTGGCTTCACTTTCTTTCTCTTCTTTGTTACAATTTTATATTTAAAATTGTCCTCGTGCATTGAAAGGGTATTGTAAGTTCTGCATTACCGAACCATAGTCTATTTTTACTTCTTACGTAATGGATTTTCATTTCGCTCTAAAAGCACATGGCAGAAGACAAACATGGGTTAAATGGCTTGAAATCTATTAAAAGAGACTATTAAAATTAAATTTTATAGCATGGAGAATGTTAAGAGAGATTAAGGGACATTGAGAAATACGAGCAAGCTCGTACATTTGGGAACACAGACAACAACCAATCATTTTTACTATAATTGATTCATTCGCTGTTTCGCCCGAAAAGGAGCAGGGAATGGACTCAGTTATATTTGATTTTCAAACAAATTTGCCATTGATCCATAAAGAGATAATCATTTGAAATTGCCAGCCAGTCTCACATTTTGATGTGTTTGGTACAGTATGAAAGGGACCATTCTTATCATCGGGCAATCAATGATGATGTACATATGTGTTCGATAATGAACCTATCCCCGCTGTTATTGATATACAGAGTGAGATGAAAAAACTGCAACCAACTTCAGACTGCTGTCATTTCTAAGCCACGCGTCCGACAGTGACAGCTCTTTATATAGTCTACAAGGGTACTAAAGCATTTTGGTGGGAATTTCCAGAAAAAAGTTATTCGTGATGGAATTCAAACATGATAGTGTGATTTTGTGTCTCGTACCATCGCTCGTTACTGAGATGCTGTGGACCGAAGAAAACAGCAACATCAGCAGAAATGGTTCGAAAAGTAAAGAAGCGACTTGATCGAAACCCGCGTCGCAGTGGTCGAAAAATGGCTCGCGATTCACAATATTCCATTCGACAAAGATTGAAAAATGAACTCAGGGCAAAGCCATTGAAATTCCAAAAATTGCAATAACTTACACCGCAACAGAAAGAAAACAGACTCAAAAGAGCTAAGGAGTTGATTCGCTTGGCCGAAAGTTGTGAACTGCCGAATGTGGGTTTCTCTGATGAGAAAACATTTGTTGTCCAGATCGTGTCCAATATTATCGTGTTTACTTGCTAAAGTGAACTCTAGCTCCGGCCATGATGATGGTGGGCCGCCATAACAGCCGATGGCCGCTCTCCGCTCGTATTAATCGGCCGTGGCATCAGAATAAATGCCAAATATTATCGCGAAAATATTCTGAAGGGTGTATTAAGCCTTGGGCACGCAAACACTTTGCCCGCAGACCTTGGACATTCCAACAGCATTCAGCACCATGGCACTGAGCACGCGCCACCCAAGAATGCTTACAAAATGAGGTTTCTCGCTTCATTCCCTGCGCACAATGGCCAATCCGTTGGTCTATTGTGTCTGGAGTATTTTGGAAAGCAAGCGCTTCGCCGGGAATGGGCCAAAATACCGCAGAGCAACATTCGGGCAGCGTGTGACAGTTTCATTGGCAGTTTGAAGGCCATACCATCAATACCCTTCACCATTTAGAAAGAATTTTAAAAATTTCAAAAAAATGCGTTAAAAAAGTTTGTTATAATCTTAAAATTTCACTCGGTATATTAGGGTCTATACGACGACGTGGACCTGCATAGGCAACTTTTGTCACAAGCCATTACAATATTCAAATGCGAAACTTGAAATAAAACGCTGAATAATGTCGCTAAAATCATCAAAATACCGAATACAGGGAGGTACTATTATATGGGGGCTATACCAAAACGTGGACCTGCACAGACAATTTTCTGTCATACGATGTGGTAGCCATTACGAACTTCAAATAATTGAGTAAAATTATATTAACCTATTTCATTTAATTCGGAAGCTGCAGTGATTTCCACAGATGACCAGGCAGACCGACATCGCTAAATCGACATAGAATTTTTAGCTGATCAAGACTATATACTTTGTGGGGTCTAAAATGTATATTTCGGGGTGTTACAAACGGAATGACAAACTTAATCTACTCTGCATATATTGGTGGAGGGTATAAAAATGCTGTTGAAAATATAAGGTCACGACGGAAACGTAATCAGTTCAAACCAAACATCATCAAGTCAAATCAACCAATCGTGTCAATGCTGAACCTGCCGATTTAGCAAGATTACGTTCCCAGGTGAAATCTATTCCACACGAGCAGCAAGAACTCCAAATGAAACTGTCTCCACACGCGCAACAGGTGCATGATTAAGTTGATGATGGGAAATGCAGAATAAGCAATTTATAAGTTTAGATAGTTGTCTTTAGGAATAACAATTGTAAATTCATTGCAGTCAGTTTTGGGAATTAATAAATAAAGGTAGTGTTGTTAACCATAGGTTAACAAACATAAATAAAATTTTTTTTAATTATTTTAAACTTTAAAAATTTTAATTTATATAAATAAATTGTTTATATAAATAAATAAACTTACGATTGTGATTTTAAAGAAGTGTTTACGAACACAATTTAAGCTCATATACTTAATTGAATGACACGACAAGACTCTGCCCATCACCATTAAAATTACATAGCCGAATTTAACAATTTCAACTTAAATACGGATATTTCTACCATATTCGGTATTTACTTGTGGCCATCCCCATCTAATTTAAAAAGAGCTTAGCAAACAGAAAAAGATACAACGTTTTCATTGTTTGTTTTTCGAATGAAAAATACATTTCTGTCTACCAATTCTACAACGATGGAGGATCATGGTTGACAATGTCATTTGTATTGATATTAGCCGCAATGAGGATATCAGAACTAAACCTAAGGAGAATGTCCATGATGTCTCTGACCATGACGGTCTGTTTGAATCCGCTCCACAATCTTTTGGGGATTTGTTAAATGGAATTGCTTCCCTCCACTGGTTCACTTCAAATGCTTTGTTATGTGGCCTTGCTCGTTTTGGAAAACATTGAAACATATGCCTGTAAGTTATATTAACAAATAACAACAGTAAACAAGAGGCATGAATGTTATATTATTAAAAACAATTTTATTCGGTAACAATTTAGTTGCATAACATCATTGAATATATATATGAACAGGTACGAAATTAACAAAACTCATTACCATCCATAGATATATTTATCATGTTTATTGACGGTGGCGATATTTCAAACGACGAACGGTTTTATACTCATAGCCATCAGCTCCCAAAATAGTGTCTTCTTGAGCTCCTTCCTCAGGCTGTTCATCAGCAACTGCTTCAGTAACAGTTTCTTCGGCAGGCGGCAAGTATTCGTTTGCAACTTCGGATACATCACGACGTTGACGGTATTTCAAACGACGGACAGTTTTGTATTCATAGCCATCAGCTCCCAAAACAGCGGAATCTTGAGGTTCTTCCAAATGCTGTTCATCAGCAACAGCTTCAGTGACAGCTTCCTCGGCAGGTGGCAAGTATTCGTTGGCAACTTCGGATACATCACGACGTTGACGGTATTTCAAACGACGGACAGTTTTGTATTCGTAGCCATCTGCTCCTAAAACAGCAGATTCTTGAGCTCCTTCCTCAGGCTGTTCTTCAGCCACAGCTTCAGTGACAGTTTCCTCGGCAGGTGGCAAGTATTCGTTTGCAACTTCGGATACATCACGACGTTGACGGTATTTCAAACGGCGGACAGTTTTGTATTCATAGCCATCAGCTCCCAAAACAGCGGAATCTTGAGGTTCTTCCAAATGCTGTTCATCAGCAACAGCTTCAGTGACAGCTTCCTCGGCAGGTGGCAAGTATTCGTTGGCAACTTCGGATACATCACGACGTTGACGGTATTTCAAATGACGGACAGTTTTGTATTCATAGCCATCAGCTCCCAAAACAGCGGAATCTTGAGGTTCTTCCAAAGGCTGTTCAACAGCAACAGCTTCAGTGACAGCTTCCTCGGCAGGTGGCAAGTATTCGTTTGCAACTTCGGATACATCACGGCGTTGACGGTATTTCAAACGGCGGACAGTTTTGTATTCATAGCCATCAGCTCCCAAAACAGCGGAATCTTGAGGTTCTTCCAAATGCTGTTCATCAACAACAGCTTCAGTGACAGCTTCCTCGGCAGGTGGCAAGTATTCGTTTGCAACTTCGGATACATCACGACGTTGACGGTATTTCAAACGGCGGACAGTTTTGTATTCATAGCCATCAGCTCCCAAAACAGCAGATTCTTGAGCTCCTTCCTCAGGCTGTTCTTCAGCCACAGCTTCAATGACAGTTTCCTCGGCAGGTGGCAAGTATTCGTTTGCAACTTCGGATACATCACGACGTTGACGGTATTTCAAACGACGGACAGTTTTGTATTCATAGCCATCAGCTCCCAAAACAGCGGAATCTTGAGGTTCTTCCAAAGGCTGTTCAACAGCAACAGCTTCAGTGACAGCTTCCTCGGCAGGTGGCAAGTATTCGTTTGCAACTTCGGATACATCACGACGTTGACGGTATTTCAAACGGCGGACAGTTTTGTATTCATAGCCATCAGCTCCCAAAACAGCGGAATCTTGAGGTTCTTCCAAATGCTGTTCATCAACAACAGCTTCAGTGACAGCTTCCTCGGCAGGTGGCAAGTATTCGTTTGCAACTTCGGATACATCACGACGTTGACGGTATTTCAAACGGCGGACACTTTTGTATTCATAGCCATCAGCTCCCAAAACAGCAGATTCTTGAGCTCCTTCCTCAGGCTGTTCTTCAGCCACAGCTTCAGTGACAGTTTCCTCGGCAGGTGGCAAGTATTCGTTGGCAACTTCGGATACATCACGACGTTGACGGTATTTCAAACGACGAACAGTTTTGTATTCATAGCCATCAGCTCCCAAAACAGCGGAATCTTGAGGTTCATCTGCCACAGCTTCAGTAACAGTTTCTTCGGCAGGTGGCAAGTATTCGTTTGCAACATCGGATACATCACGACGTTGACGGTATTTCAAACGACGGACAGTTTTGTATTCATAGCCATCTGCTCCCAAAACAGTGGAATCTTGAGGTTCTTCCAAAGGCTGTTCAACAAGAACAGCTTCCGTGGCAGCTTCCTCGGCAGGTGGCAAGTATTCGTTTGCAACTTCGGATACATCACGACGTTGACGGTATTTCAAACGACGGACAGTTTTGTATTCATAGCCATCACCTCCCAAAACTGCGGAATCTTGAGGTTCTTCTAAAGGTTGTTCATCTGCCACAGCTTCAGTAACAGTTTCTTCGGCAGGTGGCAAGTATTCGTTTGCAACTTCGGATACATCACGACGTTGACGGTATTTCAAACGACGGACAGTTTTGTATTCATAGCCATCTGCTCCCAAAACAGTGGAATCTTGAGGTTCTTCCAAAGGCTGTTCAACAAGAACAGCTTCCGTGGCAGCTTCCTCGGCAGGTGGCAAGTATTCGTTGGCAACTTCGGATACATCACGACGTTGACGGTATTTCAGACGACGTACAGTTTTGTACTCATAGCCATCAGCTCCCAAAACGGCAGATTCTTGAGCTCCTTCCTCAGGCTGTTCGTCGGCAACAGTTTCAGTTACAGCTTCCTCGGCAGGTGGTAAATATTCGTTTGCAACTTCGGATACATCACGACGTTGACGGTATTTCAGACGACGTACAGTTTTGTACTCATAGCCATCAGCTCCCAAAACAGCAGATTCTTGAGCTCCTACCTCAGGCTGTTCTTCGTCCACAGCTTCAGTGACAGCTTCCTCGGCAGGTGGCAAATATTCGTTTGCAACTTCGGACACATCACGACGTTGACGGTATTTCAGACGCCGTACAGTTTTGTACTCATAGCCATCAGCTCCCAAAACAGCAGATTCTTGAGCTCCTTCCTCAGGCTGCTCATCAGCAACAGCTTCAGTGACAGCTTCCTCGGCAGGTGGCAAATATTCGTTTGCAACTTCGGACACATCACGACGTTGGCGATACTTTAAACGACTAACGGTTTTATATTCATAACCATCAGCACCCAAAACCGATGAATCTTGAGATCCTTCCTCAGGCTGTTCATCAGCAACAGCCTCAGTTGCAATTTCCCCGGCTGGTGGCAAATATTCGTTTGCAACCTCGGAAACGTCTCTTCGTTTACGATATTTTAAACGGCGCACAGACTTATACTTATATCCCTCATCATTTAAGATGGTCGTTTCAGCATTCTGTATAGGTTCACTTCTAGACACATCGGAGATATCAGCAGCTTGCAGCCTTAACCCATCATAAGGGATAATTGCAGCAGAAGCCAATGATGCAAGACCTAATATGCCAAAGATTTTCTAAAATATACAAAAATATTGAAACGATCAATTTGTTGCTTTACTCCAGCAAATAATTAATTTTAACCTACCATTGCTATTAAGTCTTAAAGGTTTAGTGATATGTTGAATAAGTGAATACCGATTCTTGAATGATTTTGTTTGAGCAATTATTGGTTTATATATAACTCAATACTTGCATAATAGGAAGTAGTTTATCATTGAAACCGGAAGATAATCCACAACGAATCTGTGTTTTCAACGTACTCAGGGATGAGATTGCAAAATTTAGCTTTGCAGACAGAACTCTTGACAACAGGTAATTTGTTTCGCACGCAATGGTATATGTCTATTTTGAAAAGAGAGCAATGAAAACGATTTCAATAAAAGAAAAAAAAAAAATGAATTAATGTTCCGTATGTTCGTATGTATGTAAAATTACTTCTACCCAAGCACCAATTTTAACAGCACCGCAGGTTGGCATTCACACACAGTTCATTTTTGTGGCAAACTCTTGTGGAAATCTGAATACGGCGTTGAAGCTTAAAATATACGCCACTTGAGTTCTCAAGCATCTTGTCCGACGATACGTTTTACCAGACACTGCCAGATGTCTATCATCCGGTGCCTGCCTACTTGTTGATCTGGCTCTTCTCGCTTGTTGGGAAAGTACCAACACAACGCTTTTGCACAAAACGTTTTGTATTCATTGTGTTATTGTTAAAGAATAAATCTTGAGAGCTATAACAATTTAATGTTCATAACAACAACAACTACACCAACAATGTGTCTGAAAAGTGTTACTTGCACCTTTATATGTGGCAGTACCACCATAGCATGTATGTGTGTACAAAATACGGAAACACAGTACATATTTTCTGTTTCCCTTCGTGAAACTTCTGTACACATACATATATTTGTATATTCCGCTTTCAATTTACCTTTTGTAAGGCGACGGCGAAAGTGGAAAAAAACAAGATGCGGTTTAATGTGTTTTTACATTAAATTTTTACGTTGAACAAATTCGATATTTCCGTAATTTTTAGGTGGTAAAACTAGTAAAAGAGTGAAATTCTCTCTGGTAGTAGGGAAATTATATACAGAAATTACGGGAATTATATCCACAGCCGTAGACAAAACCAGTAAAGTAAGTCTTAAAGTCGGGCGGACCGACTATATGATACCCTACACCACTCTGCATAATAAGTAGAGGCTCACATAACAAATAACAGTTTAAATGGGGAATTTGTGAGAATTAATTCGTACCAACTATGATTAAAACAAGTAAGCAAAGGCTACAGTCGAGCGGGGCCGACCGTTGAATACTCTACAACACTATAATAAGTGATACTGTTTATATAGGCGAGATACTCGAATGAATTCCACAAGATATTGTGACAAATAATAAAAGAAAACCATCAGGTTTCGTTCTCTAATTTTCAAATAATAGCAACTTAAGCTAATTTGCTCATTTCCAATTTATTGGTAGATGTTGCACGTAAATGGTCTTCCTAGATCTGGAACCAATATTTCCCAAATACCTATAATCTCTCAGAAGTGGCAAAAGATTAACATTTATTATTGGTTTTTGACTGAAGCGCATCTATATGAGATACAGACATTTGACTATATTCTTCAACGAAATCAGCGTTAACGAAATAGTCAGAAGTGCGTCTTTCCTGTATTTGTGAATTCTCCAAAAAGTCACTGGAATGGACATTTTCGTATTTTGTCTACAAAAGTTGGCAAACTATTTCGCATATTGAATATTCTTGGATGGCCATCCAAAACTGCTTGGCTTTTGCAATGTCCGGTAACCCCCATTCAAATGTGCGTGAGGGTCGGGCGATAATTACGACCTGCTGACAATTTTGCAGTTTTTTTGGTCCATTTCAACACCTAAATATATGGCGATCACCTCCAAACAGAGTAGGCTTCTATTCTGACCCTCTCCATGCAAAGTTTCGTAAGGATCGGGCCATAAATGCGATCTGTATATGATATCCTGATATCCTAACTACTTAGTTTTGTTAGCTGTTTAAATGTTTAATTCAAAATAAAAATATGCCAAAAATATGACAAATTTGAAAAAATATGAGAAAAAGTTACAAAATCAATATTTTCATCTTTAGAGAGATATTTTTATGCGATTTTTTAGACGTTTTCTCTTCCCTGCCATGAGGCCATTCTGAATTAATGAGAACTGTCGAAATCAGTTCAGTCGTTCTCGACATATTAGAGATCTTTCAAGCATATCTTCTTTGATAGACATATATATCGCACATATTTTGCTATATATCCGATTAGTTGGATGTTAACATCAATGTAAAGATCAGAAGTAACCTTGTCATGGCTTTGTGATTTCGCCGTGATTTAAAATATTCGCGGTTTAATGAAAAATTTTGAATTTTTTCAACACAAAAGATATGGTCTATTTTACCCGCTAAATATTATCCGATGACCACCCAAATTGGTAGGCTTCTTCCCCGCCCTAAACTCTAGCTGCATGCGAAATTCCGCGTCGATTGGTCTATAATTGTGACCTGTAGGGCAACTGCAAAATCAGGAAATTTTCCTGTTTTTGGTCCATTTCAACCCCTAAATATTATGCGATCATCACCAAAAGAAATAGGGTTCTATTCTGACATTAACCCCACCTCCATTTTCAATTTCGTGAGGATCGGACCATAATTGCGACCTCTAGAGTGATTACAAATTAACATGGACAGACGGACAGACGGACGGACGGACATACATAGCTAGATCGACTCAGCTCGGCGAGATAGGAAGATCCATATACACTTTCCTATATGGGAAACCAATATTTCGTGGTGTTACATAATTTTTGGCCCAATCAAACTTATAATACCCCCAACACAAAGTGTTGTAGGGTATAAAAATAATTAAAAGTCCAAAGGATCTAATATATAGGAGGTATATCCCCGATTTCTACTAAATTTGTCGAGACATTTGCGCCTTTTCAATTCGGGCGTGTATTATCCATTTGGTGCACAATTAACTTGAAATCGAATAGTTATATATGAGAGCTATATCTAAATCTGAACCGATCTCGATAAAATTTGACAAAGGTATTTCTGAGCTGTATTTGATATATTTCCCCGAATATCGTCACTACGGAGTCCACATTACGGCTATGCAGGGCAAATTCAATAAATCGGATATACAATATCTATGTCAGCTATAGCAATATCTGAACCGATTTCCACCAAATTTGACATACTATTTTCTAGACTCAATTACACGTTTGGAACACTATAAAAGGTAAATCGGACGAAGATATACATATATAGGAGCTATATCCAAATATTAATCGATCTCGATAAAATTTAGCAAGGATATTTCTGAGTTATATTTGATATATTTCCTCAAATATCGTTGTTACAGGGTGCATATTACGGTTGCCGAGGAAAAAAACAAATCGGATGAACAATATATATGGGAGCTATATCCAAATCTGAACCGATCAAATTTAAAATACTTATTTTCCAATCTGGCCTTACGTGCAAAATGCTATACTATTTGGGCTGATATTACACGTTTGATGTACAATACAAGGCAAATTGGACGAACATATATATGGGACATATACCTAAATTTCGTCCGATTATCTCCAATTAGGGTTCGTCGTTGGGTCAAACAAATTATTTGTGCAAAATTTCATCTGAAGCGGGCAATAAATGCGACCTGTACTTTGTTTACAAAAATATATGGACAGAAAGACGGACATACAGACAGACGGACGGACATGCATAAATTGACTCAGAATGTGATTCTATACAGATCATCAAAAGGAACTATGGGTCTATCTCGTTTCCTTTTGCCTTTTACAAATAAATTCACAAAGACATAATACCCTGACCACCTTGTGGTGTCGGGTATATAAAGCGTTTAAATCATTTGATGCGAAAGATAATTCTCGAATTAGATCAAGTACGGAGATCAGCAATAACAGTCCCCCTCCTTCTGGTACCTACCCTACAAAAGTTCAACATTTTGCGAAAATAACAAAAATCTCCGTCTGAATTTTACCTAGAAACAAGTACATCAAATTTAGTGAAAATCGTTTCAGTTCTATCTATAGCTCCCATATAAATGTTTCATCCGCTTTGGTGTTAAAGATCCTCACATGAGTAATGTACACTCCACAAGAATGATATTTGATACTGGAAATCAGATACAAATGGAAAATACCTTTGCCAAATTTTATCGAGATTGGTTCAGATTTTTATATACCTTCGATTTTATGTTTATTATCCACCATATATGTAATAATATATGTAGTAATATTCAACCGAATTTTTCCATATGGTGAAACTGATGTATCTATTGCTCCAATATATATATTTTTTTAATATCATACGATATCAGTCATATCATGCACTATACAGCAATGTTACTTGGTACAAAAGTCAAATTTATTAAAAATCGATGCAGTGTTGGATGATCTACTTCACACAAATTTCCAATACAAGTAAAAAAACTGTAAGTTCAGCCAGACCAAAATTTGGATACCCTCCACCAATTGGAACGAATTTGACAATTTTCAAAAAAAAAAAACTGAATAAATAAATAAATAAATAAAATCCGTTAAAAATTCTCTTAAAAATACCGAATGCAGGTCTATTCGAAGATGGGGACCTGCATAGGCAAGTTTTGTCATAAACCAAATGCGAAACTTAAAAAAAAACCTAAAATCATCATATCTACTACGAACTTCAAATACCAAATTTGAATTTCCGGCGAATAATGTCGCTCAAATCACCAAAATACCGAATATCGGGAGGTACCGTTATGTGGGGGCTGTACGAAGACGTGGACCTGCACAGACAATTTTTTGTCTTGGGCTGTAGTATCCATTAGGAACTTCAAATACAAAATTTGAAATACCAAAAGTCCTGCAGATTATATATAGATATGAGTAAAATTATATCAACCTACTTCATTTCGTTAGGAAGCTATAGTAATTTCCACAGACGGACAGACGAAAGGACATTGCTAAATTGACATAGAATTTTATGCTGATCAAGAATATATATATATACTTTGTGGGGTCTAAAATGTCTGTCCGTGTTAGTTTGTAATCACTCTACAGGTCGAAATTATGGCCCGATCTTCACGAAATTGAAAATGGAGGTGGGGATAAGGTCAGAATATAACCCTATTGTTTTTGGAGATGATCGCATAATATTTAAGGAATGAAATGGACCAAGAACTGAAAAATTTCCTGTTTTGCAGTTGCTCTACAGGTCGCAATTATAGACAAATCGCCGCGGAATTTAGCATGGGGCTAGAGCTTAGGGCTGGGAAGAAGTCTTCCAATTTTGTTTTAGTGAGTGGAATACCATTTGTGTTAAATAAAAGTCAAATTTTCCATAAACCGCGAATATTTTTAGTCCCGGCGAAATCACTAATAGACGGAAAGGTCAGTTCTGACCATTACGTAGATGCCGATAGTAAATATATCGGATATATGTAGCGAAATATATACAATGTGTATATACTGAGGAAGGGGATGTTAGCTAGAAAGCTTATATCTAAAGAATGGCTGGACCGATTTTGAAACATTTTGTCAATTCAGAATGCCCTCTTGGCATACAAATATAACATATAAAAATATCGCATAAAAGATGTCAAAAATTATGTCAATATAGATTTTGTAGTAGTTTGTAACATTTTTTTAATTTTTCAT